ACACACACGTTTGTAACGGAGCCATTTACCCAGTTTGAGAGCTCCGGCCAGTCCTCGAATGACAGTGACGGGGTTGGAGGGGTTTGTGCAGAACTGGTGCAGCGGGGGGAAGAAAGCATCTCTCTTGTTCTCCAGCTGGTCCAGTCACAGGAAACAGAAAGTAATTATTTTTTTAATTCGGGCGCTAAAAACTGAAGAAATTTAAAATGTACTTATTTTGCTGATGGCTAATACTCACATAGATGCTAGGTGTGGGAGGGTTGAGCTTGTCTTTGGGCAGGGCTGGTGAGGGTGGAGGTGGCAGGCGTGGCGGGGGGCACTTATCGAGGAGGATGCTGCTGTTGGACAGACCGTTCTTCCCCAGGTTTCTGCACATGCATAGCACACAAAACCTCCTCAGCCACAGCAGTGATGCAAACACTTCTCTCAAATTCCTTCTCAGCAATATCAGTGGTATCATTAGAACCTTGGCACAGTTTAATACATAAAATGTAAACTAAAAAAAACAAAAAGCAAAACCTCAAACCACTTATTTCCATTTGATGGAAGGTCTGTAATCACATGGAGGGCTCCGTTTAACTGAATAATATCTGCATAGCAACAAGACTGCCCAGTAGCCTTCGGTGTTGTTGACAGTTACATAATAATTTGCTGTTAGTACTGCAGTTACACTGCAATTCCACAGGGAGGAGACATGCTCAAAACAACCCACACAGCCGGGCCATCCTGCTCTCATTCTGCACAGGCAGCAAATAAAAAAATGGTCTTAAACTTTGCTACGATTTTGGAGAACATTCCAGACATGTTCCAAACATTAGGTTACATAATTGAAAACCCTTAAACGCTACATTTCAGCACTAAATTAGCTGAGTGAGGCACACACATTTTCTCTCATTTACACGGGAGCAGCTGCACATTTCCATTAGTACCTCAAACACACTTAACTCAGTGGTGTTCTTGCCAGAACACTCAGCTCTAAGTCACTCTCAGTTTGTAAGATGCCAGAAAACTGGTGTTTTGCTAATGCACTTAAAGCCCCTGTCGCAGCCTGACTGCGTGTTCTTTGTGCATGCACCAAAAAACAACAACAACAACGCCAATGCGATCGTTCCTGGCGAGAGGAAAGAAGCGTGCTGTCTGAGTGCATCTGCAAGACTCCATAATGTGAAAGAAAAACAATGAGGCTTCTCACCTGCAGGCCTTCAGCACGTCTGTGGAGCTGGGGTAGATGGATATTGAAGACGACGATGACGACGACGAGGAGCTGTGTCCGTGCGGAGGCGTAGCTTTGAGACTGGTGACGGCAGGCGGCTCAGCCTTCAGCGGGCTCTGGGAGTCCTCGGAAATTCCTCCTTTGCTGTTGCCGTTGACGGCGGGTGCAGTGGCTGCGGTGCCAGCAGGACTGTGGCCACATGCCTGGGTGTGCTCTGAGGATTTGGGCGAAGGTGTGGCGGTGGATATGGCAGAGATGGGCGAGGAGGCAGCTGAGCTGCCCTGTGCGTGGGGGGTGGAGGGCAGGACGGCCGGGTGG